TGTAGGGATAGAGTTCAAAAGCAGCTTAGTTGAACACATTTGAAATGCCCTTATCCAATTATGTGTCTTGGTGGGAATGGTGACTGGTTTCAGAGGAGGGGGAAAAAGGGGATTTTCTAATGTAGGCAAAGAGGACATAGAAGAAGTTGGAGTTAAAGGGGGCTGAAGCGCTTGCCAGCACTGCAAATACCGCTATTAAATGTGTGCAGAGGAGTGAGCTGCAAGCAGGCAGAGACTTGATGGGGCTTTGGCTTCCGTTCTGAATTTTGACCCTGCTTAATTCTGGAGCTACTCCCTTTCTTAGAAACGTTAGTTCAGATCTGCTTCTGAAATAAATGAGGGGTGATCAACTGATTGACCCCAAATAAGACAGAATTTACTGCAGGGCAGAGGATGGGTATTTGTAAAAAGTGTTCTACACAGTAGATATTAAGTTTGAGGGTTTGGAGGATTGGTGTTTTTTTTTTTTTTTTTCATTTGATTTTCAGTTTCAAGCCCTGGGAAAAGGTTTATTATTAGCTACTGTAAAGTCATTTTGAGCTGGCTTTGTGACACACAGCTGTTACTGCAGGGAGCGTCGTTAATGAGTTTAAGGTTACCACAGAGTCCGAAGCTGTGTTTGTTCTGGAAGCTCGTTGAGCTGTGCATTAGATTTTGATGTTGCATTTACATTTCCAGAGGGGTTTCTGCCTACACTGGAGCCATAAACTGGCCTAGGTTGGAGTCTTTTCCGCAAATCTCGCAAACCAGTCCAGCACGTCTGAGCCTAGGATCCAGTAAGGAATAGGAGTCCATGATACCAGGTTGTTTTCTGATTTGTCAGGGAGGAGGGAAATAAAAAGGATCTGCAGCTGAGAGAGTTTAATACCACGCCACCCCTGAGGAAAGAGAGCTGAGAACACCAGAACTCGCTCCATGCAAGGTGCAAGAGGGTTGCACCAGGCTAAGGGAGCTCCTCGTGCCAGTCCTGAGGGCTTTCTGCTTCCTTTTGAGTTCCCTTCCCCCAGGCTTTCGCCTTCCTTTCAGCAGAAACTCCACAAGTGTGGACGTACTGGGTCTGCCCTGGGGGAAGAGGCTCCCAGGACTGGGCAGCGTGTACCACGCAGACACGTACTCCGCTGGGAGAGCTGGAAGGAAAACCTGATGCCTCGGCAGTTGCCTGCACGCTGCCTGGCTTCTGCCATGCTACAGGAGCGGCTTCTCTTTAGAAATTGGCTGGTATTCATGAAAAAGAGGAAGCGCTTAAATGATGGAAAACAGAAACTACCCAAACCCTATTTTCTGCCTTTCTATATGATTTCGACTGAGCGGTCAGTGAGGGATGTCCGTTCCTCTCCCCACAGGCTGGCTGGGCTGGCAGCCCTGCCTGGGGAGGGGGCAGGCAGAGTTAAGGAGGGATTTTGCACAGAGCTGTCAAGTCTGAACAGCAGCAAACAATTAATGGTCCGTGGGAAATGGGCTTTTTGGGGGGTTTCTTGTTTGTACGGTCCCCTGGTGCCCATGTTGCAGAAAGTTGATTGTTTTAAAACCTGACCTGGAGCAAGAATAGCCATGAAGGTGTCTTGGTATTTCTTCTTGAGTAACTCTCGCACCTAAAACTGTTAGGGTTGAGTGAACACAGAGTGATGGCAGGGTTTTATGCAGTGATTCTCCATCTTGTGTTGCTATACAGTGGACCACAACCAGATACTTCCCAAGATATAAAACCAGCCCTTTTCTTAGATAATTTCTGCATAGAGAGTGCTTCTCCCCAAGCCTGTAAAGGGATATACTTGTCCTGCTTTCTTATAAGGCAAGTTGATGCAGAACATGTAGCTTAAAACAATCTCTGCAGACAGTTTTGCCAGGCAACAGCTAATAACTGCCACAGGAGATGAGTGCATCATCCCCAGATCACAACTATTACAGACATTCTCTTTACCAGCCACAGGAAGATGATGAGGGAAGGGAAGAGCAGGTGCTGGAATTAGTGTGGGGATGTTATTAGCCTGAAGGGAGCACTCTTAATTCCCATTTTGAAAACTTGGTGAAGGGGCTGGGGGGACACGTGGCCACACAGTTCACTTGATTCATTATAAGAGCTGGGGACACCACCATGAAGTGGTGCTTGGCCTGTTCATCCCCAGGGAAAATAGAGGTTTTTACAGCACGCTCGCTCTCTGCTGCAGCCGTACACGCTGGGGTGGTGTGGGCTGACCCTCGAGGAGGGAAACTTGTTTTTCCGCATCTGTCCTTGGTGAGAGACTAAGGCTGCTGTGGGGGAGTGTTGAATCATGGCGTTCCCCAGCTGGCTGCGTGGTTTCCCAGCCAAAATTGCACGCTGAGGATGCGCTGCATGGGGCCAGCCCCGCTCTCGGTGCGAGGGATGCGGCAGCTGCTTGCCACTGCCGCCGAGCATCCCCCGGCTGTCGGGCATTCACTGGGGAGGCCAGCGTAGGATGGGGCAGCGGCAGGCTTTTAATCAAATTGGCTGAGATTTCTCAAGGCCACTGAAGGAATTAAATTAATCTGCCATTTCCATTTAAAAGGAGGGTGAACTGGGCATGCACCTCCCTTGGCATAGGGAAGATCTCTGTCCTTTGCCAGAGAAACGTTGCAATAAACAGATGCTTTCCCGCGGTGACACTCTATCTTATGGGCCTTTTAAAAAGGGGGGGGGTGGGGTGGGGGAGTAAAAAAACAACAAATAAACTGATCAGCCAGAAACTGGTGGCATTTGAATAGTCACTCTGCAAATAAGCTGTGTGTGCCGTGACACGAGGCGCTGGGCTGCAAGCCTTTAGGGT